ATCCGCCAAAGGGTATCCGCCCCAGAACAGCCGCGAAATCGCCTTTCCAATCCAACTACTGTTCCGAAAAGCCGGCCCGTAGCTGTTCCGAGATGTGGATTACGCAGCTGTTCTTAGGAGGCGGCTGCCATGGCTGTTCCAAGGGGGACACCGCTGTTCCTATCCTGCACAAAACACGACGGTATCCCTCCCTCAGAGCAATCGCAGAAGGCGCCCCCGCCCCTTCCCCCCTCCCCCCCCAACATCTGCAAATGCCAAGCACAAACGAGAACCGAAAGAACGCCGATCCCCCTCGTCCCGTTCCACCCAACACCGAGCGCCCTCAACACCGGCCACCCTCCAACACTGATCGCCCACCAACACCGATCGCCCCCCAACACCGGCCACCTCCCCAACACCCCTCCCCCTCTCCCGACACCGACCCATAACACAACATCACCCACCACACCCATCCTCCAACCAAGCAATGCCACCGCTAAGCAGCGTTAGACCGCTCAGCGGGGCCTGTCGACCACGTGTGTCTTATGGTACCGTATTCACGAAATTCCGCTTTATAATAGTGCCCTATAATGCAATATCATCGCTTCGAGGAGGTGGGTACCCAGGGCGGGGGCGGGGAAAGTGGGAGGGGCGGAAACAGCGAGTGGAGGGGATGGGGAAAAGGCAGAGAAATTTGATGGAGTGCCTCAAAGTTTGATGCAAAAACGCATGATCGCACTGGCTCGCCTGGTGCGTTCCAGCCTGGGTTATCTCTTTTTCAAGTTTTTGTCTTCTTACAGGGACAGTGCTTTATAGCAATTGATCCAGAAGCATTTGCGCCAAATTTTCACGATCGTTTACAACAATTCATTGATACGATGCATGGATTAGAACCGGTATGTTCAGTTTCTTTCTTGGGAATGATTTTCCGATCATTTGAAATCTTACTTCTTGAAAAGCAAAATTTCGAAGATTTACAGGCAGGAAAGGAGGGCGTATTGGTTGCCGGTGATCCGGAAAAGGAGCATGTAGCATTGGTGGAAAAATGTGGCGGTATACCGTATCATCCGAATCAAATCACTCATGCTGTAAGCATTTAGATTCTTTAAAGTAACATAGATTCAATTTTTATTTTGAATCAAATCACTCGCATGGTTAGCATTTGAACTCAACGCACATCGGTGTGCTACCGCTTGGGTTACTTCATCGGTGCCTTCACCTACCATAAGAAGTGAATATGATGAATACGGAGGTTTTACTTTTGTTTTTGACAAATTCATTTCAATATCAAAAATTAATTCTGTTGTTACATCGACTCCTGCGTTGTTTTTTAACCTAGGCATATGCGGGTTTCGATTTTAAAAAAAAAAAAAAGGATCGCATATGGAACTGGGATATGCGCTCAAAATTTCAGCTTCCTCGCTTTTCTGTCGGCAAGTACACACATACACACCCACCCACCCACACACACACGCAGACATATACATACATACATTCACACAGAATGCGTTTTTTTTTTCTTGGCAGTATGCCTTTTTTCATCTCCATAAATATACAAAAGCGCAGATAGGTAAACAAAAAG